TCCAGCCTGGGCTACAGAGCGAGATTCCACCTCAAAAAAAAAAAAAGGTCCCTCCCTCTCCACTTCTGTCTGATTCTGACTTCCTCCATCTAGCCAGACTCAAGGCTAATTCTTTGTCTCCTGCTCCCATTTCTCTTTATTCCCTTTCTTTATTTTATTTTTTAAGATGGGGTTTCACCATGTTGGTCAGGCTGGTCTTAAACTCCTGATCTCAGGTGATCCGCCCGCCTTGGCCTCCAAAGTGCTTGGATTACAGGCGTGAGGTACCATGCCTGGCCTCTTTATTCCCTTTCATGCTTGCCTTACCTTCCAGCTTTGAGGAAACTCTGGTTTCTGTTTTACCTTCAGAGCCCTGTAGATCAGGAGAGGGTGGCTGGGCAGGGACCAACGGCTCTTTTGCTTCCCCTGGAGACAGGTGTAGTTCTGCCTGCGGTCAGACACTCAAAGGCTTCTCTGCAGCTCTGCTTCCTCAAGCTGCCCCACAGGAGACCACCAAACTCTCCTGCAACCTCATGCATCCCACTGTCCCCAACTCTTGGGAACAGAATTTGACTCCATGGAAGCCCAGGCCTGTGCTTCATATACTTTTGGAAAGAAGAAGAAATGATCGTGAAGGTCAGAGAGGTTGGAAATGGTGACCAAGTGTGACAGGACCAGATCTGCTGTCTCAGGTGTGGGAAAGTTAGGTCACCCGGGAGGTGGAAGGGAAGGGAGAGAGGTTGATCCTGAGCAATTTCAGAATATCTTTTTGACGGTGACGGAGGAATGAAAGCGAGGAAGGAAAGACAAAAATTATGATAATTCCCTATTTGGGGTTTTATCTTCCCTTGGTCTTCTCTTTAAACCGAATACCCTCTATACCTAAAGACTGCTTCCTCCTCTCCTCTTGTTCTTTTCTATATCTCAACACCATTTCTGATACTGCCCTCCCTGCTTCGTGAGTGGAGGCAAAAGTCCCTGACATAAGGGCTCCAGAACTGATGGGAAGCCGGTAGGGAAATGCACTTAGGGAAGGGAGATCACACTGTGATTCGTGTTTCTTTTCCTTTGTCTTGATTTTAGCTGATGATGAACCAAAGCAAAGCTGGGGGAAACACTAAAACAGAGGCAGGAAATCAGGGGCCCATAGGCCAAACCAGCTTGCAGACATTTAGAAACCCATATTTCCGGCTGGGTGGGTGGTTCACACCTGTAATCTCAGCACTTTGGGAGGCTGAGTCAGGTGGATCACCTGAGGTCAGGAGTTCGAGACCAGCCTGACCAACATGGCGAAACCCCATCTCTACTAAAAATACAAAATTAGTTGGGCGTGGTGGCACGTGCCTGTAATCTCAGCTAGTCAGGAGGTTGAGGCAGGTGAATTGCTTGAACCCAGGAGGCAGAGGTTGCAGTGAGCCGAGATTCTATCATTGCACTCCAGTCTGGGCAACAAGAGCGAAACTCAAAAAAATAAATAAATAAGCCTGTATTTCCTTCCTAAACATTTGAATTGGTTGTAAACATTTAAAAATCAGACTTCTGGCCAAGCAAGCTGGCTTACGCCTGTAATCCCAGCACTTTCAGAGGCCGAGGAGGGCGGATCACCTAAGGTCTGGAGTTCGAGACCGGCCTGGCCAACATGACGAAATCCCGCCTCTACTAAATATGCAAAAATTAGCCAGGCATCGTGGAGGGTGGCTATAATCCCAGCCACTTGGGAGGCTGAGGCTGGAGAATCGCTTGAACCCAGGAGGTAGAGGTTGCCATGAGCCGAGATTGTGCCATTGCACTCTAGCCTGGGCAACAAGAGCCAGACTCCATCTCAAGAAAAGAAAAAAAAAATCAGATTTCGGCCGGGCACGGTGGCTCACGCCTGTAATCCCAGCACTTTGGGAGGCCAAAGCAGGTGGGTCATGATGTCAGGAGTTTAAGACCAGCCTGGCCAACATGATGCAACCCCATCTCACTAAAAATACAAAGAATTAGCCAGGTGTGGTGGCGCTCACCCATAATCCCAGCAACTAAGGAGGCTGAGGCAGGAGAATCGCTTGAACCCAGGGAAGCGGAGGTTGCAGTCAACAGAGATCACACGACTGCACTCCAGCCTGGGCGATGGAGCAATACTCCATCTCAAAATAAATAAATTAATTAATTAAATAATTAAAAATCCGATTTCACTAAAATCTACAGTTCTGGTGTCTCTTAAAAAGCGGTCAGATTTGGTAACACTGAGTCACATTCTTTCCCGGCGTTAACCAGCTGGAGCTGAAGGGGCTGGGCAAGCTCTGATTTGCCAGTTCTCACCATTCTCTAGTGCATCACACTCGCCTGCTATGATCTTTTAGGTCTGCCTGACTCCTGTTTAGTGTTTAGGTTTGTCTATGCTTGTTACCTCTGCTCTAAGCAGTTTCTCAAATATTTCCTCTGCAGGACCCCTAAGATACAAGAGAGTGAACCATTTTCCCCAGGGCTCCCAGAGCAGTCTAAAGTAGACTGTCATAAATCAGAAATGTCTTTTTTTTTTTTTTTAAATCGAGACGGGGTTTCACCATGTTGGCCAGGATGGTCTCGATCTCTTGACCTTGTGATCCGCCTGCCTCGGCCTCCCAAAGTATTGGGATTAAGGCATGAGCCACCGCGCCCGGCGAAACGTCTTTGAAGTACCTATTTTATCTTCAAAAAATGCAAATTTTGATTTACACTGCATAATATATTTGTGTTGGTTTTAGTATAAAAATGATTTATCTTCCCCCAGCAAATCTTAAAAGTAAAATTAACACTCTGGAAGATGTGCCCTGTGTATTCTGTGGCTCCAAATAGTCCTCACCATATCACCCCAGGAATAATCCAATTTAAACAGCACCGTATAAAGGCATGATGCAACGAGAGACATGGAGAAAAGACACGGAGAAAGTCGAAAAGAGGAAAAGAATTTGAAACACAACAAGTATGTGTCTGAGTGATAAGCTCTCCGTCTGGTCCTCAGCCAACCCCTCCAGGCCTGGCCCAGTCTGGCCACTGAGAAGTCAGTAAACATCCCTGATGTCTCTGGACAGGTGTCAGTGTGGAGGCTCCGGATAGAAAGCAAGACCCGAAACAGGAGCCAAGCCAAGTAAGGGAGAGGTGAGCGACCAAGAGCAGCCAAGTATGGTCAGATGAGGAAAACTGCAGGCGTGGGGAAAGAGGCTTGGGAGAGGAAATGGAAGGCTTGGAGGAGGGCTGATCAGCTCTTGCCCTTTCGCCCACTGAGCCCATGTTTGTTGTTTCACTTCCTCTTATCACTCTGCCTAAGAAAAATGAGGTTAAAAACATGAAATTGACCTCTTTTGACAAAGTGGCTACATCTCTGGTCCTACCAGAGCCTAAGGAGGATGGGTACCATGGCTTCTTTCCCTGTCTGGACGGGACTCCACCTACTCTCTCCAAGACAGGAAACTCCTCAATCTGCACCCCTAACTTAGGTAGCTTTCTTCCCGCTGCCCCTTTTGGTAAGACAAAAGTTGCTCTGACTAACTCCCTCCTATTCCAATATTATCAACACTGCACTGAGCGTACCAAAGAATATCAGAGACAGGATTTGGCTATTTTCTCCCTTTCTCTACTGTAAAGCAAGATCAGTGTGGAATTACAAGGATAGGAAACACTTAGGAAGGGGCTGGGAGCACAGCCCAAAGCTGAGGATCCTGGGAGGAGGAGAGGTTTGAGGGTGGAGAATAATCCCATGCTCTGAGGTCATGGGGACCTAGCCCCTTCCTGCATTGGTTGAGATCAGGCCTGAGGAATCTCTGGATTCCTTCCCCAACATCTTGGATTCCCAAGGTGAGAGCACGTAGCCATTAAGGTCCTGCAGTTAAGTTCAATCAGAGTCTTCCCACCGGCTCCCATTAAGGTTATGAGGGGGACCTCCCTTCTTTCCTAGATACAAAGAGGCAAATTAAAGCCTGCTGGCGATGAGCCAAAGGTCTTTCTGAGGTGACACTAGAACTTATTTCCAGCTTTGTGGTCCCAAACGACCTTGAGGAAATGTGAGCCCCAGTAGGGGAAAGGTCAGTGGAGAAGAGGTTCACTGCTAGTTTGGCCAGATTAGCTAGTGGAACTATTCCCATTGAGCTCATTTCTCTTCTCCATCCTCTGGCTGGACATGATACATGAAGGGAGATGAAGAGGACCGGCCCACCAGCCCCTTCTTCAGTCAGAAATCTATTGGTGGCCTGTTTGAGTCCTGCTTTGCAGATTGTGACCTTGAACTCTGCTGTAGGGGTGTCCCTCTCATGCTAGTTGATGGAATTGCTGATCTTGCAACCCAAGCTGAAGCATGTTCTTGGAAACGGCTGGCCAGAAGCCTGAGGTATCTTTAGTCTGCCTAGGCCAAAAATAAGGTGGGGAAATCCAGCCAAATGGAATGTGTTCAGCCAAAGCTAGGTACAGCCTGCCTTTGTTCTCAGGCCATTTATTCTTACAGACGGATCAGCAGAAGCCCTACTATGTGAGAGCTAGAAAGGCTCCTAGTGGACAAATCTGGTCCAAATTTATATTTCACACATGAGGAATACTGAGGCGTGGAGACTTACGTGACTTTCCCAAGGGCACAAAGCTATGGACTAGTGAAGCCAGGACCACAAATAGTGTGAAACCCTGTCTCTTAAAAAAAATGAACTGAGGAAAAGAGCTATCTTTTCCTTAACAAACTATGGGTGCCCAATGACCTTATTCATCTGACCCTCCAATTTTCTTTGGTCTCCACTTCCAATCTAAACTGCATGTTGCTTCTAGTTCTGCCATTTAGCCTTCCTCAAACCACTTGAGCCACTGAGCCTGTTTGCAGATGCCTCTTAACTGCTCACCCAAGATGGGAGGGAATCAAGAGGTGAGGGATGGAACACAGCATAGAGAAAGATAGGATGCTCCCCTCCCCTCCCTTCTCCCCTCCCCTCCCTCCTCCCCCCCCTCCCCCCTCCCCCCCCCTCTCCCCCTCCCCTCCCCTCCCCTCCCCTCCGTAGAGACAAACTTAGGGAAGACTATTTGCCCCAAGCTGATCTCGAACTCTTCGCTTCAAGCAATCCTCCCACCTCAGCCTCCCAAAGTGGTGGGATTACAGGTGGGAGTCACCATGGCCCAGGAAAGGATTACTGACAGAGAACTTACCCTGCCTGGGGCCAGCATAGCCCGGGCTGTACACATGCCAGCAATCTGTTCAACATAACCCCTACCAGGCAAGTAGTACCGGACCGAGCAGGGTCTCATTCTAACCTCTCAGAGGGTCCTCCAGAGGGAATAGGAACTGTGACCCTATTTACTAGGCCTTGGGCTTCAGGCCTGCCGGATAGTACCTATGGAAAGTAGGGGAAAGGTCAATGGAAACAAGTCTAGCTCATGCCTGGAACCACTTCAGAATCTGGGAAAGCTGCTGGGTCCCGTGTCCCTGGCTTTGTCCAGCAAGGTCACCTGCAGACAGGGCAGAGTCCAAGAATGGTCTGATCTCCCTGACACTTTGAAGTAGTGCAGCTGATCCCGAGCGGTACTCCAACCTTTGCCCTCATTTCCCCAGTTGCATGGGAAAAGGATGTGTGTGTATAGAGGTAAGGGTGGGAACGTGGTTCCAGTCCTCCTCTACTGCTGCTTTTCCAGAAGCTTCTTTGTTCCCACTCTTTTAAGTTCCCAGGCTGACATTTGGTGGGCTTTTATGGGATGGCTGTGCCCAACGTAGACACATATAGTTGAGCAGGTTAGGACTTGGTACGTGTATGCAGGGAACAATGCAAAAGGAAAATTTTCAGTATCTTTTACTTTTGTTTTTGCTGATCTCCCCCAACTATAATCACGGGGTGAAGTACAGCTGTGGGAAACCCCAGGGGCAGGTCCCCTGTCCCCTTCCTGCCACTCGACACAACTCAGGAGGACTACAAAAGGAAACACATCAATCATCACAAGTTGCTCAATGACTCTGGAATGTTCTGTTTCTATTCCTGTTTCCTTCGCTGCTTCTACTCTTTTTTTCTTTTCTTAGATACAGGTTACTGCTTTGTTGCCCAGGCTGGAGCACAGTGGTGCAATCATAGCTCACTGCAGCCTCAAACTCCAGGGTTCAAGGGATCCTCCTGCCTCAGCCTCCCTAGTAGCTGGGACTACTGAGTGCCACCACACTCAGCTATTTTAAAGATTTTCAAATATTTTTGTTGTAGAGACAGGTTCTCACTTTGAAGCCTAGACTGGTTTCAAACTCCTGGCTTCAAGCAATCCACCTACTTCATCCTTCCAAACTGCTGGGCTTACAGGTTGAGCCATGGCACCTGCCACTGCTTCTATGTAAACACTGACACACCCAAACTAGGCTTTTAAAGTGCTTTCTCTCAATGGAGTCACAGCCTTTCTTCCTTCTGTACAATGGGGTCAGACACATTCAACCTCAGATTGCCAGTCTCTGTCACTGGATGCTACAGGGAATTCAGTCGGCCTGCCCGAGTACAGTTGGGGAATTTTCTGAAGGTTTTTCCATATCCCATCTTACTTTCAAATGCTCAGTAGGGTTGCTATGATAGCATGAAGCAGGCCTCCTTATTCAGTTCCTATTCTGGACACGCAGCTTGCCCGTGACTGTTGCATGTCAAGTGGCTGGAACCAATCAGCTCATCTAAGGCTTCCTCAGAAGCCAATCAGAGCCTTGGAAAGTGACCTCACACAAAGGAGAGCTATGTGGGCGAGAAAGAACCTCTCAGATCTGTGAGTGTCCCTAAGTCACTCCCTTGCTCCCCACCCTCCTTACTTCCTGTTAAACACCACCGCCTACCTCCCTTCCTCCAAAGAAAGGGAGAAAAGCTAACTAAATTCCACAAAGGGAAGAACCAAAAGAGAAATGCAATTCAGCCACACACTGGTTTCTGTAACTGGAGGACAGAATATTTAGGGGGCTCCTGCCACACAGACATAGCTTTCAAAGTGTCATCTCCACGGTCTGGGAGGAGAGGGAGTATGCTGGATAAGTCAGCTCCTCCTCCTTCCTCATACCTGGTTTTCTTGACTTTCCCCACAAAAATAGATGTAATCCCTTTTTTTTCCTTTCTTTTTATCCTTTTTTTTTTTTTTTTTTTTTAAGATGGGGTTTCACCATTATTGGTCAGGCTGGTCGCGAACTCCTGACCTCAGGTGATCCACCTACCTCAGCCTCCCAAAGTGCTGGGATTACAGGCGTGAACCACCATGCCCGGCTCTTTTTTTCATTTTTATAGCTGTAATCATCCTTTGTAAATAAGGACAAGATCAAGGTCAAGTGTGGCAAAGACAGCGCCTGTGTCCTGTGAACAGACACAATCATGTCCTCGAGGCCCGAGGACCAGAGGCTTAGAAGTCAGCTGGTCTGCTGGGGGCAGAGGCTGTTTCTACAACTTACTTTTCATAGCCCTACAGATGAGGTCTTGAATATTCCCTGGGGGCTGGATTGTGACTCTGTGTCCTCCCATGGGGGGAGGAGGGAAGGGACGAAGGACAAGCAGGCTGTGGCCCTGCACTGTGTCACACTGAACCCTGCTCAGTTAAGTACTCCCTTCGTTCCTCCAGCCCTCCCTCACCAGTCCTCACCCAGGACAGAGAGACAAACACTTTATTTAAAAATATAAAACCAGTCTTACTCCTTCAAACTGCTCCCACCCCTAATGATCTCCACAAAGAGCTATACGAATTGGGTAGGGGTAGAGCCATCTCAGCTCTGACAACCCCAGTTCTTCTTTCAATTCTCCTTTCTCCCTTCATGCAGTTGAGATATTTTTCCTTTGCACTTTCCCCAAGATATCAGAGGTGATACAAACGTGGAAGGAGGGGAAGCGGAGAAAATAAACAGTCATCATCCTCCATTCCCATCTCCAGGGACCAGACAGATTATGTGAACTCTGACCAAATGATTTGTTCGTCCGAAAAACCAAATAATGGGGACAGCTACTCTCTGCATCTTCAAGAAACATACGGGGGTCCGAGTCCTTCTTCAGTAGATAGCCTCGTCCATATTGTCATCACTGTCACCCCCAAAGTCCTCTCCATTGTCAAAATATGACATGATGTAATCAGTTTCCTGAAATGGAAAAAAAATAAGTAAAAGTCAAGCCTGCTTTTGGCATTCACCTTCCTTCCTGTGTACCAGACCCCTTCCCTCCCCATCTCATAGTCCAGGCCTGAGACATCTCTTCCAGCTGTAGTTTGGAGAAGGGACAGACGAAGTCGAGGGAAGCCCCTACCCGGAGGGGCGCTATCGCTGTTGGCATGCCAACCCTCTGAGGGGAGCATCCCTGGTGTCAAGAGTTAGATCCCCAGAGTTTATGGGGTAAAGGGAGGGGGGCTAAGGTGGAAGGAGTCCCCTTCACCTCTTCATGTTCTTCCTCATCATACTCTTCTTCTTCCTCCTCTTCCTTCTCTTCTTCTTCTTCCTTCTCTTCATCTTCCTCTGAAGTTACTTCTTCTTCCTTCTTCTCCAGGGTCTCAGGTGGGGATGAATAGGAACAGAAACTCAGATTCAGTTCACAGGAGGGAAAATGGAGGCACATATGGGCCAAGAGAGAGGGAACGGCTCCAGGGCTCAGGAGGGCTCTATGCACACTTCCTCCTCACCTCTAGTTTCTGTATTGTCTCCTCCTTGTCTTCTGAGGTCTTAGGGGGCCTCTTCGGGAGCAGGATCGTAATCCCTGGTGGGGGATCAAAAGGTGAACCATCAGAGAGCAAATTTTGCCAGCTTTTTACCCCATCCTCCTGCAAAGAACATGTCCCTCTGCTGCCCTCATGTGGCCACTATGACGTCTAGCAATAACACTTGGTAGATTGGGTAGTTCCTAGAGGAACTGTGAGGGAATGTGAGACCACAGCAGCCTTGGCTCTCAGGCTGATGGAGGAAACCTCTCTTCTCCCTCCGTTTTCCAGATACACTCACGTTCCTTCTGTAGCTTCCGCACTCGGATCTTTAGCTCCCGGGGTAGACGCCGCCAATCTGGGAATAGCGGGAATGTAAATGTCAATAGGACCCTGCGTGGGGTCTCCAACAAATGATGACTGGTTTTAAAGGGGGTGATGGTTTCCAAGGAGAGGGAGAAAGGGGCTGGGTCCAAGTTGTTCAGAACAAAACTGTGGCTTGGATATCTCCTGAGTAGTGGGAACTGTTGAATAGCTTTTCCAAGTGGAATCTGAGAGTGTTTTGGAACATAATTAAGGCTCAAGCTTGCAGATGCTGAATGAGGGAGTGGGGTGGGGACATGGGGATGATGGCAGTGGCTTGAAGCATCTCCAGCATTTGAAAGAAGGGCAGTCAACGAAAGGGCCCATCACCTACCGGGGTTCCAGTCAATGGCATTGTCAATCGGACCTGACATCTGGTATTTGTCTGAATACCGCTCCACATCTGAGGGGTGGAAGGATCAAAGTTTTATCAGAGACCCAGAACAGGGTTGTCCCTGAGAGTCCAGCCACCTCAATACTCAGCAATTATCTGTCCCCTTACCCCAAACCCAGAGCCCAGGGGGGTCAGCTTCAGTGAGGACCTTATCATTCTTCTTTTTTTTTTTTTTTTTTTTGAGACAGAGTCTGGTACTGTCACCCGAGCTGCAGTGCAGTGGTGTGATCTCGACTCACTGCAGCCTCTGCCTCCCAGGTTTAAGTGATTCTCCTGCCTCAGCCTCCCAAGTAGCTGGGATTACAGATGCATGCTATCACACCTGGCTAATTTTATTTTTTTATTTTTTATTTTTTTTGGAGATGGAGTCTTACACTGTTTCCTGGTCTGGAATGCCATGGCGCAATCTCGGCTCACTGCAACTTCCGCCTCCTGGGTTCAAGTGATTCTCCTGCCTCAGCCTCCCAAGTAGCTGAGATTACAGGTGCCTGCCACCACGCCTGGCTAATTTTTTGTATTTTCAGTAGAGACAGGGTTTCACTATGTTGGCCAGGCTGGTCTCGATCTTCTGACCTCAGGTGATCCACCTGCCTCAGTCTCCCAAAGTGCTGGGATTGCAGGCATGAGCCCCTGTGTCCAGCCAATTTTTTTTTTTTTTTTTTTTTTTGAGACAGAGCCTTGCTCTGTCACCCAGGCTGGAATGCAGCGGTGAGATCTCAGCTCACTGCAACCCCTGCCTTCCAGGTTCAAGGATTCTTGCACCTCAGCCTCCTGAGTAGCTGACACCACGGGCACAAGCCACCATGCCTGGCTAATTTTCGTATTTTTAGTAGAGACAAGGTTTCACTATGTTGGCTAGGCTGGCCTCAAACTCCTGGCCTCAAGTGATCCACCCACGTCAGCCTCCCAAAATGCGGGGATTACAGGCATGAGCCACCACACCTGGCCACGATGGTTTTTTGTCTTTTTTTTTTTTTTTTTTTTTTTCCGTCCCTTAGTTCAAAGGCATGGCTGTGTTAAGAAAGAGTATGGTGTAGTGGAAAGTGCAGTAGGGAATAAGAAACCAGGGTCTGGGCCGGGCGTGGTGGCTCACGCCTATAATCCCAGCACTTTGGGAGGCTGAGGCGGGTGGATCACAAGGTCAAGAGATCGAGACCATCCTGGTCAACATGGTGAAACCCCATCTCTACTAAAAATACAAAAATTAGCTGGGCATGGTGGCACACGCCTGTAGTCCCAGCTACTCGGGAGGCTGAGGCAGAAGAATTGCCTGAACCCAGGAGATGGAGGTTGCAGTGAGCCAAGATCGTGCCATTGCACTCCAGCCTGGGTAACAAGAGCGTCTCAAAAAAAAAAAAAAAAAAAGAAACCAGGATCTGTCTTCCCTTGTTGGTTGGTGGCCGTAATATCCAGATAATTAAACATTTTGCTGGGCTGGTGACTCATGCCTGTAATCCCAGCACTTTTGGGAGGCCAAGGTGGGAGAATCTCTTGAGCTCAGAAGTTCAAAACCAGCCTGGGCAACAAAAGGAGACGTCCATCTCATTTTACAAAAAAATTAAAAATATATAAATTTTTAGAAAATACATCCCCCCACTTATACATGTCAAATGGGATTTTAGTATTTAACCACCCACTGTACCAAGACTATTATGAGACTCAAAACAAACCATGAAAATCATAATGCATTTCAGACACAGAAGTAACTATTATCATCTCCCCAGTTAGACAGTACCCTTCTTGTGCCTCTCTGGCCCCCAGTGGTGCTGAGCACAGGGCACTGCCCGTGGAAGACACTCAGAATATGATGCTGGCATTCCAACTGACCTCTCTTGGGGACAGCTGGCCGGATGAAGTAGGGGAGCTGCCTCATGGCTCCTCGTAGCTCCTGCTTCAGTGCCAGGACATACTCCCCTTCCTCTCCCGAGGGCAGAGGTACTGGGCGAAACTCCAGGGGCTACAGAGGCAGGGGCAGTAGTCAGTTCAGGGAGAAAATGCTAGTACAAATCTGGGAGGACCCCGCCTCCCAATTTAATCTAATACACCCGCTGAGCAGAGGCCAAAAGAGAATGAGGGGAGTAACATATCATTTCGAAAGCTAGGGAGAAGTGAAGGTGGACACTTCTTTACCTGCAAAACATCCCCTGTACATTGGTAGTAGAGAGACAGAGAGAGGCAAGATGAGGTACTGTCTCGGCTCACAGCAACCTCCACCTCCCGGGTTCAAGTGATTCTCCTGCCTCAGCCTCCTGAGCAGATGGGATTACAGGCATGCACTACCATGCCCAGCTCATTTTCGTATTTTTACTAGAGATGGGGTTTTGCCGTTTTGGCCAGGCTGGTCTTGAACTCC